ATCAACCCAAATTTGAAAACATTTGTTGGTGCAAATCACTACAGCAAAAAAAATAAGTACTTTAGTTTAGGTGAATACAAATGAAAAATAATTTGCACCTATCTGGGCTAAAATGTGATTGCAGATATTATTCATCACAAATACATGATAAATTAATCAGGCTATCCTACAAAATGATTTTCACACATTCAAATGAAATTGTGCTTGAAACACATTGTGCGACATGAAGTAAACTATTAGTCTAATAGGATGATAGTATCCTAACAAATCTTCAAAAACATATAGGACGGTCATTACTGTTTAGAAAATATGAAAAGAGTAGTGGGAACTGCCCAAGAATCCGCCTGAAGATTGTGTCTCATACATTCATGAAAGCTCTGGATCATTTCAGACACCAGGCTACAATGCTAATGGGAAAACATAAGCCACATACCCACCAGAGGGAGAATGAATAATATGTGCTACAAACAAGTTAGTCTGTCTAGTTTCAGTATTTGCTTGTTTGGTGTTTGAGCAAATCTTTTACCCCACACATCTGCATGTTTAAACGCTAGTCTGAATGACGCACATTCTAGAGATTTTTTAAATGCCGGCGGCAGCTGTATAAGTCCGAATTTTCCCCAAATCCACACAGAACGCACAGTTTTTTGGAAGCGCATTTTGCATCTGGGGGTTGTTGGTCCATAAATGCATGTATGGGGCAAAACATACAGACAATTGTTACTGCTGTTCTACTGGACAATTGTGCTTGTCTCCGCCCTGCAGTTTTACTGTTCACATTAAACAACATGTCCATTTCAGGGACAGTGGAGTGGTGGTGGCGTGCAGCCCTCTCCACCAAAAAGCCAAACAAAAGTATGTCCTTGTTGTTCCGGACTGAATATGCCTTTCTACTGGCAACAAGCTGATGCTGTTGTCATGTACTCTGCAGCTTCACAATTATAGCCCAAACACAAGGGACATTTGTCAATCATAAAGAGAGAACTGACTAGACAGTCCTGGAAAAACATCAGAGAGCAGTTCAGAAGCTGCTATTGTCTAGTTACTTTTTTTTTTGGTTTTTTATTAACAATCTAAACCCACTTTCTATTCTGCCTGTTTAGTTGGAATATTAATTTTACTGACTTAAACCATAATGAGGATAAAGTATAAAATGTTCTGTCAATCAAACAGCTCTAAAGAGTGACACTTAAATGACTACGAATCATCTATAACTCCCAATCTAACTTTGCTTTTTCCAATTAGCTTTAGGTAACTATTTTAAGTCAAAATATTGTGATTTATCATTCCACCTTTTTTTTTAATGTGCATATCTTGGCTTTTACATACTTAAATTACACATAAATAACATTAACCCATCTCCATACAAAAGAAAGAAGATTAAACTAATTTACTGTGACATTTTCAGATTATGACCATGAAATGTTAAGTTATATGTTTTGAAATAGACAATGCCCTACCAGTTAAATAAATTGGTTTCAAAATGTACTTTAACATCTGCAATCATCCCACACAAGTAGTTATTGACATGTATTACACTAAAAATATCGGTCAGTCAATTGCTTCCGTGTTATCCAACAATAATATCAATGATTTGATAAACGTCTCTACTCAGAAAAGAGTAACAATTAGAACCTAAAATTACAAATTAACAATGGTGGAACCCAAATATGAATTCCATTACTGCTATTTAGATTTTGAGTTTTGGGTAATTTATTACACTTTAACTGAACACACTATATAATTTGTTGTAGACCATTCACTTGACAAATCCATATATTACCAAAATATATGGATTTTCAATTAAAAAAACCTTTTTGCTGCCATATTAGGTTATCAGATTAGTGCAAAGCGATATTAAACCTATTCAGCTTCAAGAGTTTCAGGAACCTTTTGATCATTCAACTCATTTCTTTGGGGGAAAAAAATGCTTCTTTAGAAATGTGGACGTTAGGATTGGAGACGCTGTGCATGCTGCAACATGTTTCACATTGAGATGGTCTTTTAGGCTTGAATAGCTTCGATTCTAGACAACCTCCTTTTTGCACAAACTGCAAACAATAGTATTTTGCAGCAACCCATCAGATCATGTGTTTTTTTTTTCCACCAAAAATTAGCTCCCATTGGGCAAAAAAAAAAAAAAAAGCTTTTTGTTCTACTGCTGTTTTTCTATTTTGTCTACTGCTGTTTGCAGATGTCCCTTGTGCGTAGGTTTTATGGGCATACAAGAAACATATGAATACAAAGGTTAGAGTTCATAACTTTTGTATGTAAAAAGAAAGAAAATTTTCTAAAATTTTGAATGTATTAAAATCTATGTAATTAATCACATTTAATGCAATAAAATCCTTGTGCAAGTTACTTGAACCACAAAATTTTAACGGCCACTTGGTTTGTAATATTGGATGAATATGTGCAAATCACAACTCAAAATTTGCTGGGTTTTATTGTTTTGTTTTTAATGATGTGTCCCTTTATAAACAAATACAGCTTTTGTTTTAATATTGCACTGATTGACACATCACCATCTGTGTGTGAATGTGTGCGTGAATGGATAAATGTAGAGTGAAACGTTTTGGGGTCCACTGGACTTATAAAGCGCTGGATACGTTCAGGCCATTTAACATTTTTTACCATATCATGTTGACAAAACAAAATAAGTGTTGCATTACAATGACTGAAGCACAAAAAATGTTGAAGTGTCTGAATTTGCAGATTTTCTTCCACACAGTATAAAATATGCTGATATAAACTATAACACTAAAACACTACAACTAAAACAAATTGTTTATTAAGTTTAGCATATTTAAAAAATATATATATAAAACTACTACTATGCACCAACACAGTCTCAGCAGTGTACAACACGTCTTTAACTGTTGTCTTTTGCAAGCCTATGGAAGTTTGCATATTGTGAAAACGGGAAACTCTCCCAACAGTGGGGTCTACTCTACTTCCTCAAAGCAATAAGCGCGTCCACGGGTGGCAATTTAAACTCTAACTGAGAACATCACCTCACGGGTCTGTGTCGCCCTCCCCCACCCAAATTACAGTATGATCGCAGCGCAGGAGCGCGCCGCGCACGGGTACGTCTTTAGCCGACGCTACACCCACTGACACTCCCTTTAAAACAAGCACGGTGCCCTTTAAACAAACTAACGTTAGGCCAGTGCATACTTTATATCTACAACTGAGACCCAATGTTAAGAAAACCAGCAAATAATCCAACTTCGGTGGTGTGATATTGTAGAAAACAGCAACACTTCAATAGCTACCCCAACTGGCTGCAGTAGGAAAGAAACAGTTAAGGACAAAAAGTCGCTCGGAGATGCCCCGAGTCAGTCCGGTAATAGATGGTTATTTACACCGAAAAAAGCTACAACGAGGGGAAATTCAACCCGTAAAATGTGAAATATCTCACTGACAGTTTCCTTACCTACACAATGAATAAGTTTGTGTCGCCAAGAGTCAAGTTCCTGCCGAAAGCCGCGCCTGTCGATTGTGCATTGCTGCTTTTTGCACAGACTCGCCATTTTCTATTTTCTCTGGCGGCGGGCACCAGCACGCAAAGAGGAAGCGCTTAGCTGTAGGAACGGGCGCGCGCCCGCGGAGATAAGGGAAGCTGAACAGCCAGCACTTTCTCATTAACATAGACATATCTCATCATTTTACTTTGCCACTGCATGAAATATTTCCATAGTTGTCTCTGGTTACTGTTGAAATGATATTGTATTAGTCATTTTTGTAATATTCGTGTGTGTGTGTGTGTGTGTGTGTGTGTCTGTATGTGTGCAAGAAGTAGGGTATTTTTGTATAAGAAATAAGAGAATTTTCCTACAGGAAGAAAGAGAGAGAGGTAGGCAGGTGGGGGACATGCATTTGCTTAAAGGTAGAAATGTTAAAAATAAGAATAAGAGATTGTACAGTAAGGACAAAATTATAACATTAACAATACTGTTCTAAATACAGTGTTTAAAAAATATAAAAATAATAATATGTAGCTAAGTAGGTTAATTTAAAGGTATAAAATGAATAAAATATCTGCTTACAGAGATGTGCAAACAGTTGTTCTTTGAAATTAGAAAAACAGCACAGGATAGAAGAGTTATAAAGGCTTAAGTTTGTTGGGAAAGTCTTACAGCTGTTGGAAATAATGATATGCAGAAGCACTTCTTTATGCACTGAGGATGTAGCAGTCTGTCACTGAAGGAGGTCTCCAGTTGGTCAACAGCTTCATGTGGGTGGGAGACATCCAGAGGTTTGCTGTCTCCGACCCCTTCCACTGAGTTGAGGGGTCATCCTGATTCTGTTTTCCAAAGTTGTTATTGTTATTGTTGAAAAAAGAGATAGGGTACTATCTCATAAGGATTTCAAGGACTTATGTTATTTACTTATGCACTTATTTTCCTGAGGGACAATAAAGGGCATGTCTATTCTATTTATGTTATCCCACACTGTCAAATAAAAATTTATTCCATTCTGATGCAATAAAATAACCCTCACACTTATATAATCAAATTTAAAGATGTGGGGAAAGATTTATTTTAGAACTTTTGGTATTTTACATTGATGTTTACCAGAAATGTGTTTAACAGCATTGAGGTTTATCAGTGCAGTACAATACTCACCAAGAATGAACAAAGAGATTCTCCTGTATACAGTGCTTGTGGTAAGCACAGAAGAAATCAATGAGCTTAAGAAAAAATGGCGAAAAGCTCTTACAGTATACAAGTATTCTGCCAGCCTGTCAGCTGCTGCACCATCAGTAAATGTTGCTTTCAGTGACAGTTGGGGCGTACGTGTTTGTTCTCTACAAATTAAAATAAGGACAAGCCATAGCTATATAAAAACACTTCTCACTAAATTATTGTTGAAAATATATAACAAACTTAAAGTATTTAATTTTATATTTTTCACTTGTGATCTTTTCAAGATATTTTGAGATTTCCTTCACGCGTTCGCAGTTTACAGGCAGGACGTGAATGCGCCATCTCTTTTATCAGCCGGTGTTTTCATTTATTTACGCCCCTCCTGTCGTACACGGTGGTTTCCATGCTTCAGAGAGAACAGGCTTTGAGTGAAGGTAAATAAAGACTTACCTTTAGGTGCCTAGCCTCTGTGCCTCTTACAGACACAGAGATAGATAGATAGCTGTAAATATGAGCTTTATTAAAATTTGAATAGGCTAGGAATTTAGAAAAGACGAGAGCATTTGCAGCAACATGTAGCTACACAGGGTTGCATTGATCGAAACATATTGACAGCTTTAGCTAGATAGTTTTAATATTGCGTGGGAACAATTTCGTCTTTGTGTGATTAATTATTTATCTGATGGCGGCCGCATGGGTGAAATTACACTTGACTTTCGTCCTGCAAGGTTTTTTATTTGTTTTAAAAATGAAATCTCTGTTATAAGAGGTGGATTATGCTGTAATGCAGTTTGCTAACGCGCATTTGTGCATATAGTCACTGCTCCTGTGTGCAGCTTACAGCTTTGGAAAAGGGATACCACCTCAGCGTTTGCTATACAAAAACTACTCTGTGCATTCAAGAGTTGCAAGAACAGATGCTAAGGTGTCTTCATCCTTTCAATATAAGGACTCAGATCGATTTGACATGCACGCCTTAGTAGCTGTTGGCACATACAGCTACTATATATATATATATATATATATATATATATATATATATATATAGACACACACACACACACACACACACCTTTATAGATTTGTTATATTTTAGATTTTGTAATTAATAAGATAATTATTATAGTAGTATTAATAGCATTATCACCTGCAGTGATAATACTGTTTTCTCTAAAAACAGTGAGATAACTCTTAAATGTAGCAAAACTCTAAATTGAATACAAATTTCACTTTCACTCGGTGGCTAGTCTTGTAAAGCTAGATTATTTTTTGCAACCCCTAGGCTCTATTGACTATATGTGACAAATAGCAAAAGAAAAAAACCCAACTTTTTGTAAAGCCCATCTGTAACTTTTCTCTCTGAGAAAATAGCGCCCTGAGCCAAAATACCACTTCTGCATATGGCTATTGTAAGTTGACCTTTGTTGTTTTTTTTTAAAAGAGCTTTATAAAAAAAGAAAACAGACAATTTGTCCTAAAGTATCAAGGCAAATAATCTCATAATAGCTGTACTTTAGTAATCAGTTTTACACTGCTAAGAAGTAGTTCTTATCCAATGGGGTCAATTTTGTGTCTTTTAAATAGGAACACCATGACTTTGACCAGAGGATCTTTTACTTATGCCAGTGGAGAGGAGTACCACGGCGAGTGGAAAGAAGGTGAGACGATCCCTTCTCATAGTCCTACAGAAATTAAAACCTGCTTTCTTAACAAAACTGAAACAAGTCTGTTGTGTCATCAGTGTAATGGTGTTAACTATAGAACTTTAGAAACTATTTATTTACATGTTATTACAGATGACCATCCTCAGATTTTAGTATTACTAATAAACTTGCTAATTGAGCAGAGTACTGTACCATTTTTGGCATTCAGCTGTTTATAGTGTAAAACAAAAATAATACATTGATGTTGGCTGGTTTATCTGTCAGCTACCTGGCTGATAAATTCATTACCAGATGCAAACAGAAGACATGCTGGTCATAGTTTGCCGCTAGTAGTTACTTTTAAAGAAAGATGATGACATTTATATGCTGAAAGCCTTTCACATGCACATGCACTTGTAGGTTCAAGCTATTTATATAAATCCCAATTAGTTGCCATTGGTCACCCAGAGTGTAAGCCAATCCTCTTTGCACCTGACTGTAGATTGGGAGTCTTTGGGAGTTTGAAGAGAGTCCTAAAAATAAAGCCAGTCAATTAATTTAGACATTTACACACTTTTATCCTTTTCTTCTGCTTTTTCTTTAGTTCTGTTTTTTTTTTTAAGGAGTAAGAATTCCCATCTTTTTACACCAGATTCAGTTTACCTAAGTTGTAAATGATTTATTACTGAATCACTAAGTGGAAGTAAACTCCTTTACTTGTGTCCTAGCAGGGGTACTTCAGTGGAAATCAGTGCAAGCAAGCAGGATTAGACTGCAATAAATCCCACCTACACAGTCAGCAGATGGGACTCCTAATTTAGTTGTAAACCCTTATCTCACAGGAGGTGGGAAAAGGTTGTTTATATCCAAGAAATAAAATTGCACCAAAATTGCAAAAAAAAAAAAAAAAAAAAAAAAAAAGTTCCCTTTCTTTATTACAAGCTTATTTTAATAAAACACACAAACATGTCTATTCAGGCAAATGCAGTCTAACAAATTACTTAAATATAGTATTGTGGTGTATTTTGCAAGGCAGCATAATCCTTAAAACTTTTTCAATTTAAATATTTTTTTATGGGATTTAATGTGATGGTCCAATGCAAAATGGTGCATAATTATGAAGTGGAAAAAAAAAGATTCATATTTTATTTATTTATTTATTTTTTTACAGATGAAATTTTTTAAAGTTTAGCATGCATTTGTATTCAGTCTCCTTAACTCAGATATCACTAAATAAAACCCATTGATATCAGTTGTCTTCAGAAGTCACCTATTTAGTGAATACTGTCCCCTTTTGCGTGACTTAATTTGAGTATAAGTACAGGCTTTCTGTGAACTCTTCAAAGGTCATAGCATCATCATGAAGACCAAGAAAGTCAGCAGACCGTTCAGAGATAAAATTACGTAGAGGTTCAAATTGATTTTAGGTTATAAAACAATATTTCAACCATTCTAAGCTTCACAGACCACTTATCTGGTGTGAGAACAGCAAAAGTGTAAAGACATGGTTGTCCACTTACAGCAGGGCAGGGAAGCAGGGAAGTGGTCCATGGGTGAAGCCACAGAGATCCAGGCTTCAAAGAAAATCTGTTGACTCGACAACTATTAGGTTTTGCACTCCACAAAACTTGTGTTTATGGAAGAGAGCCAAGAAAACTTGAATTGTTGAAGAAAGGCTATGAAAAAACACACTTGCAGTTCTCTACAAGTCATGTAGGAGACACAGAGAATGGGTGAAAGTAAGTGACAGAGGATAACAACGTTGAGCTTTCTGCAAAATATGTACAAAATCTACTGGTGGGAAAAAAATCCCACCATCCCCACTGTTAAACCTGGTGACATCATCCTGCTCTGGGCACTCTTAAAACTGTAGGAACAGGGAATCTGGTCAGATTTGTTTAGAAGATGAATACAAGGCAGTAAACCTGTCAGAAGATTCAAAGGAGTTCAAACTAAGGTACAGTTTTATCTTACAGCAGCATTAAACATGCAGAGCTACAATGGAATGGCTCAGGTAAGAACATATGTATGTGTGAGGATGGCCCAGTAAAAGAATGGTACCAAATCCAACTGAGAACCTTTAGCAAGACTTAAAAACAGATATCTACACTGATACTCATAGGTCCTTTCCAACAATTTTGGCCTGGCCTTACATAAATAACACTTCCTTGCAAACAAGAAATGGTCAAATGACTTGCAGCAGTAATCAAGTCGGCTGTAAGAAGTATTCACTCACTCAAGAGGGACTTAATTCAGACACACCACACACTTTTCAGATCAGTTTACAATCAGATGTAAACTGATCTATAAACTGCCTATTACTTTCTTTTCATGTCACAACTATGCTTTGCTTTGTGTTGGTTCATCACATAAAATACCATCGCAATTGTAACGTAATTGTAATAGCAATAGCTGTTTCAGTCATTAAGCAGTATATGGTTCATTATTCTAGGTCGGCGACATGGCCTAGGCCAGCTCAAGTTTCAGGATGGAACATGCTACACTGGCCAGTTTGAGAATGGCCTCTTTCACGGTTCTGGTGTGCTGCTTTTTACAGACGGATCCAGGTGTGTAGAGAAATGATAGCTAAACCCTCACAAAGGTTACAAAAGACAACCTGGTCACGTTTTTTTGGTCATGACAGGTACGAAGGAGAATTTGCTCACGGAAAGTTTCAAGGTTCAGGAGTCTTTAGTCGATTCGATGGCATGAAGTTCGAAGGAGAATTCAAAGATGGCCGTGTTGAGGGATATGGTAAGTGCATAACACCGCTCTAACAGCAAATCGATCGGAATGTCAATATTGTATCCCTGTGGTTGGTTATGGTCCGGTGTATCTGTGTCTGCAGGGCTATTGACGTTCCCTGATGGAACTCATGGTGCTCCACGGAATGAGGGCTTGTTCCAAAACCACAAGCTGCAGAAAAGGGAGAAGTGTCCTGGAGTGGTGCAGCGTGCTCAGGCCTCAGCCTCCAGCGCTCACAGCCTGGCGCTATGACTGCCTTAGACCATAAAGGTGTTAGGACTAAACTTTCAGCACCTTCCAGATGGGCCTTAAGGGTGAACACTCTCTTTCACAACCTCTCTTTGTCTGTTGTTTTACCATTTTTTTGTTTGCTTGTCCACACTTAAAGTGACTTAAGGGAAATGCATTTGAACATTTTTGGATGACTTTCTATGAAATGAAGAACTTCATGAAGCACACCTTTAACTTGATGAGTAAAGTAAGCAGGGAAAGCTGCTGTCTCTCATATTGGCATCGGACCATAAAACGTGTCTGTTTCTTTCTATAGCTGATCATTTTGCTGCTGATTAGAGAAATTACTTTTTAAAAATACTGTTTTTATTAGAATAGTTTAAAAAAAAAAAGGAAAACTCATGGCTGCATGTTAAAGAAAGAATGTACATATTTAACTATTCACATTTGCCTTAAAGATATTTTCACACAATCACATGCTTGGGGGGTGTTCATAAAATAATCAGATGATGGACATTGGGCATTGGGCATTGGACATCTCCTCACATTCTCACTGCATGACTTGCCTTGAGGTATCTGTCAGTTTAAGGAGTTGAAAGCCTGATTAAGGATGGTGTTAGCTCTGCCATTTGCAAGTCTTCTTCTTGATGATTATTATTACTGGGAAAGATCACCATGACACAACATTTGTACATGTTAGAATCATTCAGTGCTGCTCAGAGGTTTACATACGGTCATCATCAGCATGGATTCAGGGTCGTATGATCGTCCAACAGACAATTTCAATGAATTTGATCAACCAGAGTTGGATGAACAATTTTGAATTTATTGTAGTGGGCCAGACAAAGCCAGTTTTGATTTTTTTATTATTTGGAATCAAAATGAAAATGCATAAAGCAGGTGAACTTTTAGCTACTGAATCAGTCCGTATCTCTTAATGACAATTAATTAATAAGTAAGTAAGTAAGTAAGTAAGTAAGTAAGTAAGTAAGTAAGTAAGCTTCTCTGCAACTAATTAAATGACTATTTTTGAAATATTAGTGGGATTATATGTATACTTCTAATCCTGAAGAGAAAATTCACATTAAATTCAAACTTGCCCAACAAGTTCTTGTTTTAAAATTCATTGTCATGGTTTGTTGTATCAAGTATTGTTGCAACTAGGTCTGTCACAATAACAAATTTTGCTAGGTGATAAATTATCCCAGACGTTATTGCGATAAACGATAATATTGTTCTGAGACCATTTACAAGAGATATAGTGAAAATACCATAAAAATGCAACAGCACATTCTCAAAGATCAACAAACTTAAAATTTTGATAAACCCTGGAATTCAAAGACATTTAAAATATTGAAAAGAAATAAACAACAAATGAAATTATTTATGAAGTCTCTCTGAAAATGGGGCCTATTTGAGAATGATTCACCAGGCTGAAGATTTTTGTCATCCAGTGTTTGGTAGAAAGAGGGAGAGAAAAGAAAAACACAATAAATCATGCAAATGGAAATTATTGAGTTTATTTTATCTTATGATTAATTAATTTATTACTTATTGCGACAGGCCTAGTTGCAACATGGAAAAAGAGCGGCCCTACTGCGTCATTAAAAGCCCAACATTTAATCTGATGTACATTCTGACGGTGACTGAATGTAAATTTCTCACCAGCACCTTGTGTTGAATCTATGGACCTAAATAATTTAGGCAGCTAAATGAAAAAAAAAAAATAATAATAATAATAATGTACTTGTTTATTAATGTGTGTAAGGTGTGTAAATATTAATTGTATATGACTGTATCAATTTTAATTTTAAGCAGTCTGGACTAGTGGAAAATTGTGTTTTTATCATGTTTGATATTTTGACACATAATTTATTACAGCTGATCACAGCTATTCTATGTTCTGTATACTTGAATGTTTAACAGGCCTTACGACACATCAGTAGACATTATTTATTCTAGTGTCGCCTCCAAAACTTCAACCAAAGACAATCATGTCATATAAGAAGTATGAAGACCTGAAATGGTCAGTAATGCAAACAAACAGGCCTTAGAGTTGGATAGTAAAGACAAATCAATGAGGAGAATTTCAACTGGAATTTAAGTACATTTGAACAAAAAAATGACCCGTTGTCTAAACAAGGAAACATTTGGTTTATTTCTGAAATCAGATTAGAAAGTTTTACATTTCCACTGCTACATTCTATGAAAAAAGAATAAATCAAGAGTTAAGTCCCAAAGCTTGGTTTAATGTGTTATGACAACTTTTAAGACTGAAAAAGAGACTAAAAGCAGATAATCTGACCTATTTTGGTATCAGTAACACTATTTTGGTGCACATTTAAAAGTATTTGTTCACTCACCAACTGATCTCACAAGAGTCATGCTTCCATTTTCACCTGGAAACAAATGGTGCTTTACAAATGTGCCTGTCCACAATTTGATTTGCCTGGTAAAATAAAAAAAAAAAAAAACATCTTGTTGCCATGGTGTTACCTTTTTGAGGATTGTTAACCATGTGGTCTTTAAATAAAGCATCCGCCGTTTTCCTGGAATTCATCTGACTATGTATCATGGAGGCGTATTTAATAAAGGGTGTATTGTAAAAAGAAACAATTTTTCTCAGTGAGTTTTTTATCTTTGTTCGAGAAAGCAATAAAACATCAATTTTTGGTCAGTGCTGTTTCATAAGCTCTAGCACAGGACCTGGATTATGAATTAGGGACTGAAAAAAACCCTCAATATTTCATGGATAAACAGGTTCCTCTGAATTTTGGCTGCAACGCAGTGAGAAAGTTTCCCCATCCCCCTCTCAATAAATCAGCTCACAGCAGCATGCAGCTTATACGTCACATGAATTGCAAGGGAGAAACCTAAAAATGTCAAGCATTTAGGAGCTCTGTAGATAAGAAAGAATTTTTGTCAGATACTTTTCTTCACTCATGTGTTGTAGGGTCTCAGTTTTAGAGTTACATAGACAGGAAGAACTATCTGATTCCTAACCCTGTGTTGTGGGTGGTTTGTGTTCCCTCTCTCCCTGACAGTTAGAGCAGCCTCGTCTGGAACAGGAAATACTGCGTGGGGCTGATAATGAAAATGAATAGTTTACACACATCACATACAGCCGTGGTTGAAACAAACCTCTCTTTCAACGGCAAGTTTGACTCTGTTAGGTTTCATCTTACCTTGAGTATGTAAAACACATTTTAACTATAATTAAAATATATATTTTTAAACAAAAGTAATATTTCCTGTCTATGGTTTTATTATCTCTGGATGAGAACAAACTTCTTGGTAAAAATTAAAGAAATATCACATTTAAATCTTTCAAGGGTATGACCAATTTATCAAGTGAGACCAGCTCCAATGTTTCAGTTCCTGCAGGTTTTCCAGTGTCTTTCCCATGTAATTATAGTTAATTGATCAACATATGGTAGGACAAAGGTGCGGGACACAATACACTGGATTTTTCTTGGAACTTTGGTCAGAGACATTTTATACCTTTTGACATGCAAACCAGAATGAGCTAGAGAGAAATGCGGGGAAGAAAGATGCCTGCCTTTTCCTTAGCTCTGTTAGGTCTGTGACACAATCTTGGATAAGTAGAAGACACTGGTTAAGGAATTAAAGGGGCAACATTGAAGTCTACAGAAAATGAACCCAAACTGTGCTGTATCTGCTCTTTGAATGTCATCACTAATAGACTTTAAGCAGTCGGTGATAATAACTCCACCCGATTGTGCTGAAAAGATGCCCTCAAGGATAAAAGGAGCACAAGTCCTTCAAACTTGGGGAAACCCTTTCAGGGATTTGGTCAAATCACTAAGGAATTTCGGAAAACACATAACTCAATCAAATAAGCATCAAAAGCAGATAAGGCACAAGAACAATGTGGCTTGAGTACTCTGAGAAACACAACTTCCTCAGACAACGATTGATAAGCCCCAAACAGTCACACTTTTTCATATGGATTATACGGGGAAGTTGCCCATGGCAGCAAGTGAAAGGTGTCACACAAGCACCAGGTGAAATTGTAGAAACATTAACATTGGCTAAACAAATAAGCAAGACACAGACAAGAAAGCTTGACTTGTTAAGATTCAGGTTTCCACCCACACCTCATCAGTTATACTTTTTGAAAGACATTCACATTTGAGAGACGATAAAGGAAACGGTATTAAAACAGAAGAAACAATGTCAAACAGAAAAAAAATGCCTTTGGGTTCTGTCTTTCAAACACCTGCTACTGGGCAACCATGACTCTATCTATAGGTGGCCTCATAGCCATTCATGCTTTGAATCATGAATGAAACTCCTCAAGTGCTTCAATGTTTGATTTCTAGATTCTACAGATCAGGCAGTAACCAGGCCTTTGTAGACTTTTGGCTGGTGAAACTGAACCAAACAAATCGTAGGTAGTGAAAGTCATGATTTATATATCCAGTTGGAATATATTTTCATCTAAACCATGTTAGTTTGGAATGTTTTTTTTCTCTCCTTTTGTCTAACATCTAAATGAGACAAAAAACCTGAAGCAACAACCTGAAGAAAAAAAAAAGAGTAAGAAATCTGCGAGGGGTGAATACTTTTTCCTAGAGCCGTACTTAATCACAATTCTCATCTCTCCTCCTCCCCCTTTTATATTTTTAAAAACTGCATTTTATTGGATAAAAAGCTGATGACACACACGCGCATGCTTAATCATATTTAAATATTGAATTTTATTGGATGAGTAGCTGATGACACACACACATGCTTATTCATCCCCTTTCCAGCTGGAGTGTGACTGACATGTTAATGATTAACCAGGACTACTGAGGGAAGAGGCAGAGTTCAGTCAGGTAAAAAAGGAACTTCAGCCATTTTGACCGGACACCCTTCTGCTTATTCCTCAGCAATGGAACAAGAAATTTAAAATAATAATAATAATAATAATTAAAAAAAATAATCAGCTGACAACTCTTCGAGGAAAGCTGTAAGTTGTACTCTGTTCTCATGTGTTTATAAAACTGATTCTTGTCTCAGGCAGCGTCAGCTCGTATTTGACTATAAAATAGGTAACATGACACTCTCCCCATTGTCCGTAAATCAATAGTGATTCTTTTCACAGAACTTCTCCCCGAAGTAGATAAATTATTCTTATGGTTAATGACTTTCGGCACATCAGTCAGCATTATATCTTGTGTGTGTTTAAGGTGGAAGAAACAGTGCGATGGTGACGCTGAACCATCTGAGTGTAGAAGATCCAGATGATGGTGCTCCGCTGCTGTGCGTGGCTGCAGAGACGACAACACCAACAACTGGGTGTCACAAACAACAAGACATATTAAAAACGGAGTCCAGGGAATTTTTCTTAAGCAGGTACAGGTCCTCCAAAGAAGTGAACAGGTTATGTTTAAAACTATTACAGAGGGCTCTGGACCCATTCTATTTCTAAAAAAAAATACTAAAAATGATCTAATGTGATAGAACGGGTACTTTTGCTCAATTTCCCCACAGTAATTCTTTTTTTTTTTTTTTTTTTTTAAAGATGGTGCTTCATGAAGAAGGCAAAAAAAAAAAAAAGCAATTATGTTGATGAATATGATGATTATTTGCATAAAGAGTTTCAGGGCTGAGTACACAGACTAGTTTGAAATACATTTTATGTACAGTAATATAACAACCAACAGTCAAACATCAAGACAAGAAACTTTCTATATTCCAATCACTGAGTTAATGTAGAAAAATGAAAGATTTCCATACCTTACTCCCGACTAATCTGGTATGATGTAAGAAGATGGAAATGGGACAAAACAAAGTTTGTTTTACAAATTGAAAACTACTTTGCTTGTGGCCATCAGCATACGAGCTGTGCAGGTGTGGCTGTGATCATGGTTATGATAATCTGAGAAAGTTAGTGAGGGCTTTCATTTTACAACCTGGAAAAACTCGGTTTTAGAAAGGTGAGCCACCCATTCAATTTTAGACATGCTTTTAATAAACACATTATTACTACCGTGCCTTACAAAAACACATCTGTGAAGCTTTTTGTATTTTTTTTTCATAATATACCTGCAACTTTGAATATATTTTAATAGGACTTTCTGTAGTCGACCTACACAAAGTAAAAATCAATAAATAAGATGAAAATGACATGCAGTTATGAAAAGTGTGGCATGCATTTGTTTTCAGATTTGCTTACACCTCTAAATTAAATCAAATTACTACATTTGTTCATAAATAGACTCCATTTGTGTGTACCTTCATCTGAGACAAAACTTTTAACATTTCAGTAAAGCAAGGCAAACTTTGTGGCAGAAACCTAATACTGCTCTTCACCCTGAACTCACCATTCCCATGGCGATATGTGTTAGTGGCAGCATCAAGTTGTTGAGATGTTTTTGTTTAGCAGAAATAAGAAATCTATTTAAATTAATGGTCACAGGAGACTAGAAGCTGGCAACAAAGTTTATCTTCAAATGGGATAATAATCTGAAACATAAAGCCAGAGATGATGATAATGATTTCAAACAAAGTGCACACACTTGTTAGAATGGGCGCAGTCAAACTTCAGACCCGAATCTAATTGAGAATCTGTATCAAGAACTGAAAATCGGTGTTTACAAAGCATATCCTTCCAGTGTAGCTGAGCTTGAACTATTTTGCCAAGAACTAGCAAACATTTAGTATCCAGATGTGCAAAGCTGCTAGAGATACACCCCAAAACACTTACAGCTGCGTGAAGTATAATTGCAAAACAACATCATTCTACAAAGGACTGACTCTGGAGAGATTAAATACAAAAAGTTTGAAAAACGGATCCAAGCTCTTCCATAAGAATGCACTGCTTTCTTTTGGTCTATCTCATAAAATTCATTGAAGGTTATAGTTATAATGTGATAAAATGTCAAAAACTTCGAGGGTCAAAAATATTTTTGCAAGTATCTCTAAATTCTCAGCCTGTAATTTGAACAGATGGACTTATCTTTGTCATACTTGCTGACATGTTAACTCAGATGTGACATTTGCAGATGGAAGATCACGGTTGCCCTTTACATTTTTGCTATTGTTGGCCCATTTTGTCCTTTTGTCTTCTGAACAGGAAGAAGAATCTCACCACTAGTCTGATCTTGCTGGTCGGATGCTACATGGCGATTCTAATTCCTGCATATTTCCCCCCAAATAATGTGTCATCAGACAGCGATGACTACCAGTATCCCAAAGATTTGGTAAAGATGCGTGTTGTAGCATACACACAAGATCTTTGTTAAATTTGCAAAATAATTTATTTTACTGTGCCCTCTTCTCCTCAGGCCTTACTAAATCGGTCAGCCCTCCTGCTTTTACGACCCTGCCAGCCTCACTGGGGTCTGGACCACCTCAAGTCGCTTTCCTGTTCTGAAGGACTTCTGGACATCCCAGTGTTTGTTCAACAGGACAAACCCAAGGCATGGAATCTGACCCCTCCTATGGGGCTCCAAGGGAGTGAAGGGCATTTGGCCCTGGCCCTTGCCGCCATGCCTCAGCCTGGTCTGCCTCCATCTTTGAGTACAGAAGACAGGTGCAGGCGATGTGTGGTGGTGGGAAGTGGAAGCATTCTTTACGGGAGCCATCTTGGATCTCACATAGATCAGTATGATGTCATTATCAGGTATGTGGTTCAAATTCATCCCATTCTTGAACTGCTTACTGGGGGCCATACAATTATTTCAAGAGCCTCCAATGACCCCTGACCTATTGATACCTCTTGCAAATTTAGGTTTTAATTACTCTTAATTTTACAAACACATTTTTCTGAACTGGAAGTAATAGTCAAATTTTGTAGTTGCCCTGATTAAATTTTTTGTTGATTTTCACTGACCAGACCAAGCCCTTCCTTGAATTTGTTGGAACAAAGTCCTGTTTTGCTGCAACTCTTAAAATGTTGGGGGTTTATCTCTGATTTCAGGATGAATGACGCTCCCGTCCCTGGATTTGAGAGAGACGCGGGGTCACGCACCACCATCCGCTTGATATACCCAGAGGCAGCACCTCACTCAGCCGATGAGTACAGAAAGACCGCCATGGTCGCTCTGGTGGCTTTTAAAAGCCTGGACTTGGACTGGCTGACTTCTGTAATAACCAAGCAGCCTCTGGTAAGCCCACATCTGAACACCAACTATACTGCACAAGTTTCTCATCGGTTCATTGTAAATTTTTGTTATCCTGCTTGTCATCTATAGAGCTTCTGGTCCAAAATGTGGTTCTGGAAGGAGGTAGTTGAAGATATTCCGCTGAAACCAGAGAGCTTCAAGATTCTCCATCCAGAGATCATTCACAAGACAGGGCAAGTCATACAGAGATATGCCCAGAAACAGGGAAATGTAAGTTCCTAGATAATTAGTCAATTTCTTTACATAAAAGTGTGATACATTTTCTTTTGTTTAATTTTATTGTATCACTTCCAATGACAACTGCTTTGAAACAGAAACAAAATATTATTTCGATGGCTGAAAAATGAGAAACATCTATTTTCAAAAGGATGCCGTTTTGCACTCTTTGCTACCACGTTGAAGAACTTCTCTCAAATTATCGATGAAGTTCGAGATCTTGTTTTGCTTTACGAAATGAATCAAGAGTCGTTTTCTGTTCTGAACAAAGACAGTGCCAACATTAGGTGCCAGTGCCGTGGTGATGGCTCTGCAGATGTGTGACCATGTGAGCCTCGCGGGGTTTGGTTACGACATGCAACACCCAGGGTCCAGGCTCCACTACTACGGGGCAACACGCATGGGTTCCATGAAAGCTCAAGTAAGTTTACATCGACATACAGATGTGGGCAAACATGCTGATTCCATGGGAAGACATGTAAAAAGCCTTGGGATAGATGTATCTTTTATTTCACTTCTAACAAGGCTTATACTTGTTAGAATTTTAATATTCTAATTAAAAAAGGGCTCCACTGCAACATACCACCGACACCTTTACTTAAACGTTTCCACAGATGCTTTTCTGCTTACTCACTATTAGTTTCAGAACAAGTTATGTTTCACAAGCTAGAAATTATCTGAAATTCTGAAGAACTTCAAAAAGTAAAGTAATATTTTAAAGTCTGTTCATGTTGAAAATGTATTTGTTTTCGTGGGTACACATTTATTTACTATTCAAGGCTTTTTACACATCTTTTACCAGGATCCCCAAGAGATTTGTCCAAATCCACCCCATCAGGGTTACTGACCGCAGAATTCACGTTTTGTCTAAAATGACGTTTATTTAAAATCTCCCAGGTGGTACACGACGTTAACGCTGAAAAGCTCTTCCTGAGGGACCTGGTGGCTTCAGGAGCCGTGACTGACCTCACAGGAGCTCTTTGAGTTTCGCTCAAGTCTGCATGTACGCCCCCTTCTGGTTGGGAGTTTGTTTCCTCTATTGTAGGCCGTGCACAACGCACTCCACACTGCAAAATGACCTGTAAAATGCTCCCAGTCTCTAAACAACCAACTTAGCATTGCTATGTCAAAGGACTGATTTGTAGCAGTTAATTTGAGAACAGTATTAATTATACAGATGATATTCAGAAAAAGACTATACTGTGTGATGTCCCGAATGTTTTATTCATGTTCTGTTTTATGTTTTAATTTCATTTGCTAAAGACTCAATAAAATAGAGAGTAAAACTGTGCTGCTATTCTTCTCTACAGGAGAAAAAAAAAATCCATCTAAACTGCTTCTCGTGCACTTTGTGTAAGATTCAGGAAGAATAAATAAACAATGCCAATCAATGCCAGTTGCTACAACCTCATGTGTTCATGACAACTTTGATAATAGAGCGGAAGCAAGTGAAACAATGCTTAAATTATTAATAAGGAAAGACATTCAGCAACTACTTGTTGGATTGTTCATTTATATAAGTCCCATTAAAGGTACAGTATGTTCATTTGTAAAGTACAAATGCTGTAAACTTTAAAAGGGTGAAAAAAGTTACAATGCTTCTATACATGTGTGTGACTAATCAATAGGAAACAAATTTTCCAAAAATGCAAACTTGATGGGGTCGATTAAAGTCACAGCGGTTGTCTGTGCTAATTGAAAAAGTGCTTCTGATAAATAATTTGGAGAACTTCAAACACAAAATACCAAAAAAAAAAAAAAAAAAAACAAACAAACAAAAACAAAGAGTAGGAAACTGCCAGGCAGATATGTGGGTTCTGCTTTTCTTCCTTACTCCTGACGGAACAATGGATTGAAACCTTTGTCTCCAAGTTTGAGTGTAATGATCTTCCTACAGCAGCGGATTGCGTGAGGGTTCCCACAGTTTGCTTGCGAGTTGCCTGCAGTGCTGGAGGATGATCTCTGTGGGGATGACCCCCAGGTGGACGGTCAGCAGCTCATAGCACTTCACATTCTCCCCCTTGTGGTTCTTGTTGTAGTACTTCAGCAGCCTACTGTGGAAAAATATGACTTCTGTTAATACCGAGCAAAGACCGCTCGAGTTTTCCACAATGCATTTCAGGGTATGGTAGTTTACCTGTAGTAGTCATAGGCGAGCATCCCAATGGGTGGAGAGTCATCAGCTAGCACTGGTATGTCCACTGGCTGCAACTTGTATCCCTGATGGATCAGACATTTAGAGATTTTGCAGCATAATGCTAATGCTCACATAAGTTGGCAAAAACGTGGAAACATTTAATAGAATTGTTTGTTGCACAGAAAAAAAGTTCAATCCATCCTTAAATGTTCAGTGGGGACGGGCAACTTACCGTTTCATTCTCAAACCAGAGGAAGTAGCAGAAATAGAAATCTCCATCACGGAGTGTGACGGTGGAATAACCCTTCTGCAGATAGCGGCGGGTTGTCCTGACCAAGGCCCATACCTTCAGTTTAATGTAAAAAGATAGACAGAAGTGAAAAAGAAAGTAATTGTGGTTTCAATTGCTTTTCACAAAGGCAAGTGGAAAAACTATGTCCCGTCAGTCAAAGGATAACAAGCAAAATCTGCAAATGCTTCTTTCTGATTTCACTACATTAACATCGCAGTGTGCATTTAGTTCATAGCAGCGCTGTTATTAGTCTTATTTAAGATAAAACTATGAAAACATTTTGTGAAACTGTTGCCAGTGTAAAGAGTCTTTTTTTTTTGTTTGTTAGTTTTGATGTAAAAAGACTGTTAAGATCTTTACTTTTTAAGTCCATTGGTCTAAATGATCATAGTGTCTTTTTCCATCTAAAACACTCATGTAGTTAAAATAAAGGTTGTCTGACCTTGTTTTTAATATAATTAGCCACAGGTCCCTTCCCCAGCTCCGACGTAGTGCGCTCTGCGATGCTGAGTGACGGAGCAATCATTTGGCCGGTTGCTCGGTCCACGCAGATGAAATGGACGAGGCCTGGGAAATCCTCCAGATAAGTGAGATCAGCTTAGTCAAGATCCACAGTTTTGAAAAAAAAAGTTCTGCAGATCGAAAGGCAGGGCCTGAGTTTAGCCAGGTCTTACCAGGGCAGTAGTCCAGAAATTAGCTCTGAGGCTCTGGGAAATCTAAGATCATTTCTTTTGGTTTTTAAATAAACTAAAAAAAACGTTTCGAAGAATTTCAAAGGTTCTTTCATATTTGTGATCACTTAAAAATATAAAATTGTAAAATGTTCACTATAAAGAAACTGAGAAAGCAGAAACAAAGGAGATAAGAGAAGGGAAGTAAGAAAATGTGAGGCATGTAAAGATACCTGATTGGAAAGCCACAACTTATAGACAGTAGGATAAGATAAAGAAATACGGAAATACAAATATATTTTTTTCTCCATACTCTTGACCTTTTCCAGATTTCGAAAAGAATGAAATCAACTCATTTTCCCAAACCGGACAGAAAGCCCATACGACAGTGAGATCTTTTAATTTACTGGATTTTTGTGTAGATAACCAACAGGAAACTATCTGAATACTATGATGCCACAGAGGCCCGCCTCTAACTTTACCCTAGACTCCAGACAGATTGATTGTAACGACAGTTTAAGTGGATGGTTCCAACCGTAACTGCGTTACACCTCATACAGGCCTGGAACAGATACAGCAACATTTTTACATTTAAGAGAGAACAAATACACAAAATGGTTTTGACCTAAAAATTTATATCAATACGAATATGAACCATTAGCAGACAACAAAGCAGACAGTAGACCTATAGGGGATGGGTAACGTTTGAAAAAAAAAAAAAAAAGGATATGACACCATGGTTATGTTCCTTTTGCTTTTAACCAACAGAAAGTCCTTCCAGTCCACCAGTTTCTCTCTAGGAGAAGAAGAGTGTCAATACATGAGACGAACCAAAAGCAAACCTGAAGTCCCTCTGTGCCTTTAAGAAGGCGCAAAAGGACAACAATATAAAGTTTATTAAAGACACATAGAGTGCTGAGACAAAAAATAAAGACGTTTCAGTGGGCTGAGACTCACCGAACCATAGCCTGGGCTCGTTCCTGCAGACCAGCGGAGAGACGATGAGTAACATCAGCAGACAAAGAATCAGTCAGGAAACACTGCCTGTATATTCCACACAACTGGGTCTTCATGTTTTTACACCACGGGATGAGACTAAAAAAAAAAAAAAAAAAAAAAAAAAACAGTTATGAAGGCGTTGAAAGGAGCTTCAGACACTTTCTGCTGTAATAACATTTTACCACCAGAGGGCAGCAGAGGACTTACTCTTTGTTGAATCCAGAACCTGCTCTGGAAAAGGCTCGGCTCTTGAACTCTGCCCAGACATTTTGTAACTGCGCATACTGGGAGAGAATTAGAAAAATGTTCTTGTTTGAGCTCAAAGGATGAAAACAGAAGACTTAGATGTGATTCTTTTAAATAAGAGTAAGGAATATAGGGAGGCTCTTTTGAGTTCAGATTATGACGATTAAACAAATTCAATTTTCAATTATAATTTAGAACAGGGGTGGGCAATCCTGGTCCTCGAGGGCCGGTGTCCTGCAACTCTTAGATGTCCCCCTGGTCCAACACACATGAATCCAGTAACTGAATCACCTCCTAAATGCAGTCAGGTTCTCCAGAGTCCTGCTAATGACCTCATTATTTGACTCAGGGGTGTTGAAGTAGAGACACATCTAAAAGTTGCAGGAGACCGGCCCTCGAGGCCTGGAGTTGCCTATCCCTGATTTAGAAGGTCGTACGATGAAATGACAAGGTCTGAAACTGGTAACATCTACCTGTAAGTCATGGGGCTCCAAAGATTTGATGAATTTGTCCATTTTGGAGCGGATGTCCTGCATATTCAGAGGGCTTCTGGCTGAAGCGGGACCTCCATGGCCTTCGTGTAAACGTTTCTCCAGCTTGTCAAAGTCCTCCAAGTACTTATACACCGAGATGGCCAGTGCACTGGAGGAAATCTGACATGGGCGACAAGAGAGCAAATACAGGATCCCTTTAGATATACGGTGCCTTTCAGAAATAATCTTACCTTTCGATCTCCCCCCCCTCCCCCCCCCGTTTTCTCATAATATACAATTGCTAAGCTTAAGAAAAACGCTACAAGTGTTGAAATTCCCAAAACATAAAGCTGTTTACTCTAACATCCCTAAATAATATTCAGTGCAACCATTTGCCAACTAAAGTTATTTAGTCAGGAAACAGAGGATGCTTTTGCATTGCATAGTGGGCCAACATTTCTCTTTAGGTGTGCAAAGATACTAGAGACATGCCAACAAAAACTCCCAGCTGTAATTGCATTGAAATGTAGTCTAGGAAGTACTGACTCAGGGTGCCTGAATACAAATGCCAGACCTTACCAACATTTGTGTGTAAAAAAAAACTGAAGTAGGACCCTCGATTTTATAAATATGAAAAACCTTGTGTTTCTAAATCCCAATAAAGTATTTAAAAATTAAAGAGTATTGCAGTGTTGATTGCATACAAGGTCTGTTAAACATCTATCTACTACGTGCCACAAGCATCTTTGCTGCAACTAAAGAGAAACAGGCTTGTTTTAATGTAACCACAAACCTTGGTGAGCAGCACTAGTGTGATGCCTGGCCACAGTGAGAGGCAGTACATGGAGTGAGGCATCATGGGATACAGCCCATCTTTGTGCAACACCTCGAGGAAAACTCTCCGAGGGCTCGCGGGGTCCGGTGGGTTAATTTCCAGAGTGTGCAAGCTGTCCTCTGCCATCTAAAGACATTACTGCAGCTTTAAAGTGTGTCACTTTTCATTACAATCTATGGGTCTTGTAGAGAAAAAATATCCTGACCTGGATTTCTGGGTCCACAAACTGAAACACAGGAGTTTCTCCTCGGCCAGCTTTCTCTAGTAAACCAAAAACAAAGTCAGTCCTCAGGACAGAAGGGAGAAATTTAGCACAAGTAAAATTCCTTTACTCAATAACTCACCTGAGCTACTGGAGCTTCTACTGGAGGGGGAAGGCTCTGGTGTGTAAAACGTTTCAGGACCAGAGCCGGATGTGCTATCAGCATCCTTCACAGAGAAACAGGAAATGGTGAAGAAGAAAAAAAAAGAAAAGAAAACAGCAGAAACAAGCAGCTGTTTGAGAAGTCGCAGGCCGTTCGATACCTCTGGACTCATGTCGTCCAGATCTACATTGCTGGGATACATATTTTGTGCCATGACGATGAGGGCCAGCAGGTCTGAGGGGGTGAGGATGCTCGCATTGCGGCTGCAGCGAGAGAAGCAGGGGGTTGGCAAATATGTAAATAAATCAAAATGCAAATATAAAACACAATAAATGCAAGTCGGCAGCAGTCAATTGCACAGGGTATGAAGAAAAAAAAAAAAAAAAAAAACTGGGAGGTTTTCAATGAAAAGCATGAACCTGGAGTAGAAAGCGAGCAGCTTGGTGTGAACGAGGACGAAGGCGTGCAGAACCTCCTCTCCCGCTCGCTCCACACTGCTGTTGAGCTGCTGGACCAGGCGGCGCTCCAGGAACTCTATGCATAGCTCACAGAGCTGCGGGTGAATCAACCGCTCCACCGCCTGAGAGACGGAGGAAATGAAACGTCTGGACTTCAATTTATTTGTTACAAAAAAAAGACAAGTTAAGTTTTCTTCTGCACAAACAAAAAGAGGAGGACCACAAGTAACAACTTTTGACTCCAAAAATAAGTGTTGGTCCTCCTAAGTGTTGGAGATTATTTTTTAGTGAAAAGTTAATACATAAGTTACAGAAAAAAAAAGCATTTAATGACTTGTGAGGCTTTTATAGGTTGTTTAAACCTTCACTCTTTTACAGTAGCCAGTTTAACTTACTGTAATAACTGTTTATTATTTATTTGTCTGGATTTAATAATTCTGTGTATTTGTTTTTACTTATTGCTTATGTTGATTAATATCATCACCAGTTTTAGATCTTATGTTATTTGTCTTTCCTGAACTTTAAAAAAAAAAAAAAATCATAGTCCAGAAAAAAAAAAAAAAAAAATAAATAAATAAATGAAACATGGTGGAGGTGGTATAATGATGTGGGTATTTTATGTTCAATTAGCGGGCAAAATTAATTGCCATTTCAAATGACATTTTACTAATGTGTATACTTTAAATTTCCCCCACGCCCCCATTTAATTTAAATCACCAAAATTATGAAGTGAAGATGTACAGAAAAGCAATCACAATTAAAGAATAGTTTTTAAATCTTTTAGAAAGGTAGAGTAATCTCAACCTCAACCTACATAAATCTTCTGGAAAGAGAAGAAATAAGCAGGAGACAAGGAAAAAAAATATGTTCTAGTTTAAGATCTGTGTCAAAACTAAAGGTGCTTTGAGTAACAATCTAGAGGAAATTCAGATATTTTTCTTGCTTAAAGTAATGTAAAAGGGAAAATATGTGGCTAAATAAATAAGGAACATTCAAGATGAGGGGAAAACACACTTTCTCTTAGAAAGGAATGAATTTAAAGAATCCTGGATTTGCTCCGGCCAGCAGAAACCTTTATTTACTAATCAGACCGACTGCTCAGACAGGTCTGATCAAGGCTTAGCTTAGCTGCATTCACAATGGCAAAAAAAAAAAAAAAATCCACATTCCAGGTCTGAAGCTATGTTTTGTTTATCCCCTTCTGGCCCCGGGTACTTAAGAAGCAAAGAGCGTTCCACTCCACCTCCACCAAGAAGCTCTGGTCGTTCTCCCGGAGGAGGCTGTAGGTATCCAGCAGGCTCTGCAGATACTTCCACAGCCTCGCTCTCTGCTCCGTGTCCTGAGGCCGCAGTCTGAAGGGGAACCAAACGGATCAGGCGTCAGCCGCACATCCGCCCTAACGCAGCCCAGAGCACACATGAAAGAGGCCGGACGTTCTTACTCTTTCCTCAGGAGGTTCCCGCTGAGCGTCACCATGCCGAACATGACCTCGACCATCTTTTTCAGCACGTACAGCTTTCTCCTCAGGTCGTCCTCCTTCTCTTCGCCGTCCCCGTTCACGGCGATGTAGAGACACTCGTCGAACTGAAGGAATCACAACGCAGCGCGATTAGGTTTTCGCTCCATGCGCAAAAGACAACGCAGAACGAGAGCTGCTCTGTGACGTCATTCTGCTTTGGAGTTCTCTGAAAACGGCGGCAAGTTTTGACGGTGCAACCCGCATCATGTGCCAAAGGGGGGGGGAACAAAGCCTGGCTTGACTCTTTAACTCCACTCACATGACAAACGTGACGCCTCGCTAGAAGAGAGGCATTCATTCAGGTCACTGTGGCATAAGTGCTTCCTACTGTCGAATATTTCAGAATTAGAGCATAAAAAGTTCACAAGTCAGAGCCGGTATAATTTTTTTATGTAACTGTGTCACGGAGGGCAGAGGACGGGCGGATATTATTACCTGGTGTAGGACGTAGATGTGGTTGTTCTCAGTGGTGAAAGAGGTGTAGCTGTCCTCCAAGGTGCTGCAGGAGATGATGATGGGAGCAAACAAAGTACTCAAGATGTCCTCAAAGGCAGGAAGCTGAAACAAAGAATTGGAAATAAAATTAATGAGAGTAATTTTTAAGCCTTCCCTGGAAGCAATTAAATAAGAAGGATTTATTCTCCTCCTCCTCCTCCTCCGTACCCCCTCGCCTTCCTCCTGGGAGACCCCATATTTCTCCTGGATACTCTGGCGATATTCCCGGTCACTCCAATGGAAGAGGACCTCGGCACTCTCACTGGCTATCAGCAAGCACTTCATCTGGACCAGAAACGTCTTCCCCGTCAAATATTAAAAAAAAAAAGGATGCTACACTGTAAAACAAAAAAAGGGAAAAACTTAAAGCCGACATGGGAGGAAATGCAGATGTCTGGTTTGTTGCGTTTCACAGGTGGAAACGTCAATGAAATTTTTGCAATATTTCTAAGTTTTTTTTTAATTTATTTTATTTCTACATTGTGGGAAAAAAAGATGGAGGCAAGAACATGAACAGAAGAAACCAAAACAAACTAAAAAAAAAAAAGGTTTTTAGTGGGAAAAAAGCCAATTTCTTTGGTGTCGTTTTGTTAAGAGTCCAGTTTTTGATCTGTAACAAAAATAAAATAAAATAAAAAAAACCTACAACATTAACGATATTAACCATTTTTTTATGTTATTATTTAAAAATACAGAAGATAATGCATCTTAAAAATACATGTTTTTGACCAAGACGTAGAATCTGTAAAGGGAGCCAATTATGAAGGTAATGGTAATAAAGCCTTCAAACCTTAAAGAGGAGCTCGACATCACTTAAGATGAATCATAAAAATACTAATGGAAACATGCAAAAAAAAAAAAAAAAAAACCCGACTCTATAAGAGTTCCACTTCATCCTGTATGTAAATCCCGCAAACATTAAATTCAATCTGCCCTTTTTGCTGCTCCCGCTCTCCTACCATCATCGTACACAATCGTTTTGAACTGTAGGATTATGCAGTCGAATTTCAACACTGCAAAGACCAAACTTACCAACGAAGTGCTTGGAGGAACTTAAGTAACATTAAACTCCGGTGAAAAACACTTTTAACAATCATCCGCGCTGACTCATTAGACAGGCATGTCAACAAGCACTGGAAGCGAGGTAAACATCAACAACTGTTGATGTTTACCTTGATCTGCTATTGACTGAGATGAAAGTTCACAGTTTCCCCACCCCATCAAGCGCACATCATGTGCGTTTTGTTTTTACTCATCTCTCTTTTTATGCCAAATAAGCACAACGACATCACCGACGAAGAAGCTCTTGTATGGCCCAATCTGTCAAGTTTTACGTAAAATCTTAATACAACACTCGAACTTCCTCCATTCATTAACTTCTCCCTGACATTTTGCGCCAACAGAAACTTTTAGTTGATCTCACATTGACTCACTCTGGGTTCTCAGCTCAGTTCTCTGAATGGTCTCTGCATCTCCGTCCTTTCCTGTTGTTGGAAAGTCCAGCTTTCTCTTCTGCTTTTTTTCCCCCCCTGCAGGTACAGCTTCTGTTCATTGCTTTCTTCCGCACTTTTCGACCGAAGCGCAGCGCAGTCATGTGACTGCAGCCACGATTCAGCAGCCAGGAAATTTGCTTATGGCAAGTGAGTTTATCACATAATCATTCGGCAATTATCTGCTTCTCGGAGCAGATGTTTGACTCGCAATGATTTTTCATAAATATATTCATGCTGAATCTGAAAAATGTATATGTTACAATGTGGTAGGTCTACTTAAATGTAAAATGTATGCTTTCCTTTTTGCACTTTAAACGTTATATAGTCCCTTTTTAAAGGCACCCTATACATTTTTTTTCTTTGTTGCATTTATTTAACTAACAGTAGCAGCTCATCTAATGATGAGATTGTCTAAAATATCATTAAGTATAGATTTTAAGTTGGGATTTTGCTTTCATCTCTTTTATAAGTCTTTTTTAACTGATAACTGATTCATAACTTGTTTTATTTTTAAGTTCTGTTCCAGTCAGATTATTATTATTTTCACATGCTGTGATCAATCACTAGGAAAGGGCTGAAATACCAAGTCATAGTTCATCTGTTTTCACTGCAGGGTCGAGGCCAAATGATTTGCAGTATTAACTTTGATGCTGACGGATTCATGATAGTCATCAGTTTATGCTGGCAAAAATAAACAGCTAACATGCTGGTTTTATTCCAAGACAACTGCTGCGGATAAGTCGCCCAGTTTGATCTGAACATTTCTTCTTTCATCTGCTTCTTTCCTGGCGTTCTGCTTTCTTCATACAAAACAGGCATGCAACCAGGCTTATGCGGAAATAGTCACACACGTAGTCCCAAAAAATGTATAGATCTTGTTAAAAAGGAGACTTTTTTGTAGGGGTTAGTGAACTGAAAGTCTGGTTATTCGTCGATGAGTAGTGAGTACAGCTTGTTCAGTAAAGTTACTTTGAAATACGTTAATGCACACAAATTCTAAAACCATATTTCTATGTCTGAAAGTCTTTGTGAGGTATCTGTAGATCCATCCAGATTTATGAGTGCACAGTGATGTGATTATTATTATTATTATTTTTTTTTGTCATCCAGGATAAAAGTGTACTGATGGTGCTTGAGATACCAACAGCTTGGACTTCATAAAGAAAGGTAAGTGTGGATATCTGAAAAAGAATCATTACCAGAAGAAAGTTTCATTCCAGACTTTCACGGTCAAACAGCTTCAAGTCAGAAGTTGGATTTTTAAATGTCTGACAAGAAAAGCTGTTCCAGACATCTTCAATACAATGCTTTCCCCCCCAAAGCATTAAAATCCTGACGATGTAAGAAATTGGTTGCATTTAAGCGAAAAAAGTTATTTTAGACTGAGGACTTTGAAAATTCAGTGATAACAGTATGACTGAAAATATCTACAAAGGTCTTCTAGACCTTTGTGTGTTATATAAAAAGTCAAAGGAAAATTATTCTTAATAACAGATGTAATGATGTCTTGTGTATGTTTTGCTTTTTAAAATGTCCATAAACATGTACAAGATCTATTCTACATAAGAAAAATAGACTTGAGCAGTGCAGTGGGGGAAAAAGTGACATCATTTGTAAATGAAAGAAAAACCTCTTGTCTAGATATCTGAACATAGATTTATACAACTTTACAAATTGGCAGATGCCAGCAGTCCAAACCCAATTAAAATAATTACCTTGATTTGAGTAATCATAGCTTTTTGCAGATCTTTCTATACCAGGAGAGTTTCTTCGTCTTGTAATTCAGGTGAAAACATGAATTTTGATGACAGTAACCTAAAATTTACATATAAAATGTATCATACAGTTCATCTGGAATGATACACATTTTCCATGTTTTGCAAGCCTCTGAGTTGTGTTAAATGAATCTCCTCCAAATTTCACACACAAATTTATGACAATACGGGAAAATATTTTGGAGTGTTTTGCAAATGTATAAGAAAAATAAAAATCACCTCGACATGAGTATTCACAGGCTTTGCTTAATGTTCATCTTACATTGATATTCTTGAGACGTTTCTACAGAGTCCACCTGCGGCCAATTAAGTTGACTGGACTTGATTTGGACAGACACACATCTGTCTATATAAGTTGACAGTGCAAAATCTCAAACATTGTTTTTCGACATTGTCATAATGGGTTGTTTCTGTGTAGAGTTGTGAGGAAATAAGTTAATTTAAAACAATTTAGGAAAAGGCTGTACTGTTGCATAAATTGCTGGGGAGAGGAGGAAAAAAAAATCAAAAAACAACATAAAACACTGTGAATACTTTCTGGATGCACGTGGTTTGATTATATGTCATGATGGCCTGCCATACAACAGCTATCGAGCTCTTCTTTTCAGTGAACTATTCTTCCAGGAGCCAGATGAACACCGACGCAGGAACAAGTCATGCGCTGATGAATGAAGTGGAGCACATGACGGACTGAGAGTTCGAGATAATATTGTGGTATTTGTGGTATGCAGCGTCAAGATTTAGATTTTGATTGAGATTAGAAGGGATCGGGCCCTTTGGTTTTTGTGAAGAAAGATGGTGTGCGAGGTCTGAGCCAGTTTTCAAGTCTTTATGATGAAAGATTTGGAAAATAGTGTTATAGCATAACGCAAACAACTTGGTATAAGGAGCTACATTTATAAAAAAAACAAAAAAACAAAACAAAAAAAAAACAATCCCACTCTTCAGAGCCTCTGTTTGTTGTGAGACCTCCCAGCTGTTCTCTGTGCAAATGTGAAGAGATTGAGGCCAGAAGGGCATACTGATTTATTGTCTGAATTCGTGTTTCTATCTATTTGAAACTGCATTTATTTTGTTTTAGTTTTCTTTTCTTGACTGATATCTTTAGCCAGCTGATAAACATCTGCAGTTGATGTTTTGTATTTGTTAATTATACAGTAGACAGGGACAAAGCATAATCTGCATTAACCTAAAAAAGGAGAGATGCATTGTACCAGGTTACAGCTCTTGTCTGCATTTTGCTGACCAGCTGGTGTTAAAAGGTATAAGACAGTATGATCCTATATAACCGGAACAATCTGGTGTTCTTTTAAAAAGCCTGCTTCATTTAACAACTGAACTTGATTTGAGATTAATCAGAGCCACTTCAAATGGTGGGTGGTGTGCACGGACACCTATTTAACGCAAGTTTAAATCTGAACATGGCCAAACTCCAAGTTATATGTGTATCACAAAAGGAAACAGTTAAAAAAAAAAAACAAAAAAAAAAAACAAGCAGCCTGGAGCTGCCTATGAGATGCTTGAAAACTGCAGGCATGACTTACTAGCAGAAATTATTGAAACACCAGCCCGCTTCTCAGAGAAACGTCTGATGGCTTCAACAAATCTGCCTTTTATCATAATATTCTTCACAGACTGCGCGCTAGGCCTCCGAGTGAAGCAAAGCAGCATAAATATTTATGTTTTATTAACCCTGCTTGGGTCGAAATGGTCCCAAATGCTGGGATTTGGGACATTGCGGGCCAAACTCTAATCTAGTCCATCAGTTTTCTGGAGACCTGGAGTTCATGACGATCTTATTTAGGCTGACTCCTGTATATACAGAGTAAACATCATGAAATCCTCAAGTGTTTGCTGACAGGGTGGGGGGGCTCTGCATGCCTCAAAATGGATCCCTTGCATATAAACAGTGTTAGCTGGGCCTGAGCAACAGCTACCTCCACTGTGGAGCCGCTGTCACGCACAAGTGGCGAGGCACGACACTAGTCTCCCTAAGTCAGATCGCAGTTAGGTTCGGTGAGTGGAAGCGGTGAATCGCGGGCCCAGTCAAATCACTTCACTGATTTCTGTTCAGAGATTCGAAATCCAGCAGAAATCTTGTGGATTGCATATAATTATTTAAGTTTTTGTAAAAGAAGAGTTGCTATAAAACAGCAGATATCACCTAACGACAGTCCAGTTCTTCACTTAAAGTCTATTTTCTGTCGCTGGGATGTAAGATTAACACATGTGAATATTCATCCAAATCAGCAGTTATATGCGGCCAACAGCATAATGAGTACCACTATGCAGGAATAAGGCCAAGTGTTAACAAGCCTGCTTTGACTCTTGCTTGTCAAAAGAGTCAGCTTGTTTAAAGTGAACCACATGTGAAGGAAAGGTTTTTTTGGGAAAAAAAAAAAAAAAAAAAAAAAACATTTCCACTCTTTACATAAAAGCAGGAGCCAATTTCAAGTTTATGAAATCTAAAACAAAATGTAAATAAAGGTACATGCTTTGGATCATGGCCTCTTTGTGCTAACAGCACACAGGCACCAAACGTCAGCACAGGAATCGCCAGCGTAGAATTTTCTTTTTTCTTTTTGTACCGCCAGGCTTTCAGAGAAGAAACCGAAGATCCATCAAACGCAAAAGCATCAAGCGAATCCTTGTTATCTGTGCATCAGCTGAACGTAAGCCATGTGTGGTTCAGGTTTAGCTCGTCTGAGTCTGCCGTTTGGAGCCCGTCCTGGCTCCGTGGTTCCCATCATCAGCATGCAGTGACAAGACACCACTACAAAGGCTACTCCAGCTGCTCCCACATCTGGGGCCGTAGCATGTAGCACTTTGTGGGAGTGAGTGAGTGAGTGTGTGAGTCAAAAACAGCAACTTAAAAACTTCATGAAAGGATGCTGCAAGGAAGTGACGGTTTGTATTTATTATCTCCCTCGGGGAGGGTTTATCTGCTCTCTTGTGCTCCTGTGCGAATGTAAATCAGAAACCTTTCTTTTTCTTCATTCCTTTGACTCGTGTTTACAGGGAAAGTTCAGCACAGTCTGATCTTTTCCAATGTCTGATGTATATCTAGAGCAGGTGGAATCGACTTGAATGTGTGACGAACAGAAGGCATGCTCTGTGGGTTTTTAATAGCAATGTAAACTTTTATTTTAAACAAATAATAATAATACAGGCACACTTTCCATATTAAAATAATGCTCTCCAAAAGAAATATAAACATCTCTACATTACCTATAAACAAATTCAGAGGCAAACAATATTTATATTTAACATTTCTGAACACTGAACCAGTTCTTCTTGCTCAACTTTTGTTGCGTTTCCAACTTACTGTTAAGCTTGGAGGAGTAAATGG